CAGACTCTAAATTGAATTTTTGGGAAAGCATCTGACAAGTTGATATATCAAGATGCTTAAAGGAGATGTCCTTGAACTTTAGATATCTTTATAGGCATTAAAACAGACATTTTGTTTTGAAAATGTCCCTGGCTTATACTGCTGTCCCCTCCAAGAGCCACTACACTTTCATTGAAAACATTCAGAAAAACAGGAGCTGAGGATCTTCCAGGGACATCCAAAAATTATTCCATGTTGAAGTCTTAGGACCTAGTGAAAACAAAATTTAAAAAAAAAAAGCTAAAATGTATTCAACCCTGCTTAAGCCATCTCTGTACCCACTGTGAGATCTGGGAGACCCAGGCAGAGATTCAAGCTGAAGCCCCTCACCTTCTTCTGAGATAGGTTTGCCAGGCATCATATATATATATATATATATATATATATATATATATATATATATATATAAAACAGTCCCTGTGTTTTTTTGCCCTGTGTAATTTTCTCCTCAGGGCACTAGAAGAGGTGAGGTCCTTCCTCTAAAGACCCCAGTTTGGCAGAGGTAGGAACTCCAGACTGCCAGTAATAGAGGTAAGGACTCAGAGTGAAGTGTTGAAGTGTGAGGGGATTAGCCAACTCCAAACAGAGGGTTCCCTATGTAGTCACAACCCCTACTATATCAACCCTGGGGGGAACCCAGAGAGGGGTGGCCACATGGGATATCTCTCACTTCTTCCTAAGTGTCTCAGAGAAGCGATGGTGTTGATCTGGGGGACATGACCTCAGGTCAGTAAAGGAAGTGTTTCAAGACCTATCTGGAGTCACACAATACCCCGAATGAGAACTGAGGGGATCAACCACCCTATACAGAGGGGGTGCCATGTAAACCAAATCTGCCTGCCCTACTGTGAGCCCTAGGAAGTCTCCAGCATGGTTGGCTGGCTACACCATGAAGAGCCATATCTCTCTCTCCTTCAAGAACTTATGGGACAAGACAGGAGATCTGTGAAGCCATGGACCACTAATCCCTTGAAAAAGTATAGTGGAAGTGATCTTTTTCAGCCAGCAAAATTGAGTTAGCCAGCTAAAGTCACTCATATCCTCTTCTTCCTTAGGCTGTGATTCCCTTTGGCTTATGCCTCCTATACACACTTCTGCCTACTAACACCAATGTAACACATCCTGCCTCTGTGTCAGAGACAGCACTGTACCAATGAGCAACGCCTTCAGACCCACTGATCCCAAACAGAAGTGCCCAGAGGTACTTCTTCAAGCATATCAGACGGGAACTCAGAGCTCAAGAAGAGGGAAGTCAGAGAACCATGCAGGCTTTGATAGACACTGAGATTTGCCCAGATTCCTTCCAGACTACAGAGTGGTTTGGGTGGTGAATTTACCAGTGCCCAAGTAAATGAAAGAACCACCACAAAAACAGATATCCTGAAGAATGTCATGAAAGAGTATAAGGAGCACTTTCTGAGATCCTTAGGAGTGTCTCTGAGCATATGCAGCAATCTTCGGAGCTGAGGCAAAAGACACAGAGCATGCTTATATCCTTCTCAGAAAACTGAACCTTCCCTATGATGAGGGGTTGAGTTATGAAAAGGACATGGCCAAGGACAGCTTCCTGATAACTGTATGGATCTGTTATGAAAGGCCATTACATGACTGAGAAAACAGTCTTGGAAGAGCTGAATTTAATGGATATGCATTCTGGGGAGAAATATTTCACCTTTTGGGATCCCATAAAGTTATCTCCAGAGATCTGGTGCAGGAAAAGTACCTAGAGTACCAGCAGGTGTCCAACAGTGATCTTCCTCCCTATAAATTCCCAGAGCTCACAATGAAAGCTGCAAGTGAAAGTCCTGGAGTTTTGGGCAAGATCCCTAATACCATTCACATTGCCTTCCCATCTCCTTATGAAGAACTTTGAGGGATGAGGAAGACAGCACCTGAGCCAGAGTTGCAGCCAGGGACTACTTGGCACTATTGCAAAGGCCATCTGAGTTCCAGGCCAAAGCCAGACACTACTCCTACTGTTAATGAGGTCCGAGGAATATTTTTCACTTTGTGTTTGAAGTGAGCAATTTGCTGGGCAGTAGAATGTCAGGGTAAGGACAGAGAGTATGCAATACAATATTCTCTTTGTGTTCCTGTTCTATATGGATAACTTACAGACTTATTTAGCTAAGAATCAGTACTTTTCAAATGTTATTCCTTCTCATGGAATACTGAACTTCAGAATCAAAGCTTTTGAATGAAATGTGTTACATGTTTATTGCTGCTTACCAGATTTAAGAATAAGAGTTTTGGGGAGAGAGTGTTTGGTGTAATGATTAAGATGCCACTTGGGATGTCTGCATCCTGTATCAGAACACCTGAGTTTGGGTCCTGGTAACACTCTTGAGTCTAGCTTCCTGCTAAGGTGCACCTTGGGAGGCAGTAGGTGATGGCTCCACATTGGATAACCAGATGCAGTTTCAGACTCCTAGTTTCTGCCTGGTCCAGCCCTGGCTATTGCAGACATTTGGGGGAGTGAACCAGTGGATTACAGTTCTCTCTCTCTCTCTCTCTCTCTCTCTCTCTCTCTTGAACAAACACTAAATGAAATTTAAATAATAGTTTTGGCATGCTGTAAAACCAATATGAAATCCTTAATCTCTTTTACCTGTGACCCATACAAGACAACACAGAATTGGAATAAGTATTTTCTTGGAAGTGTGAAAGAACCTCATATTCAAATCACTAGGATCACGAGACAGAGAAAATCTAAAGCAAAAGCAGGTGGTCAATCCTTGATTTGCCTTATTCCTTTTTTATGTAAAGTTTGAAAACATAGAGCTGGATTTTATTTATTCAAAAATGTAGGATCAATTAAACTGTAATAATTTAGACCTCTTGTTTACTATTATATTCCCCCATATTAATCAACCATATGCTATTTGAAAGGTTCCATGTTCATACTGGGGATGTTAAGGGAAAAAATGACTAAACCACTGTCCTTAAACATCACTGGTTGAGAGCAGCTCATGTAAAATATAGTGAAATTATTTCTCAGACCTACAGGACAGGGTTAAAAATGGCAAGGGATAAGAAAGGGGGGTTCCCAATTAAAATATTAAATAAAAATGATCTGAGAGCAAGGATGTTGGTGTCTTGAGAAACTTTAAGTCCCTCAGTAGCAGGTATTACCAGCTATGGAAACTCAAGCATGTTAAGAATTCTGTGAGCTTTAGGCTCTGTGTTTGTGAGGTGGGTTTCATAATCTCTGTTTTGTAGGGCTGGTAGAATATGGCTAAAGTGTGCAAAGTGCCTGGCACAGTGCCTGGTCACTATTGAGATTTCAGCATGGTGATTATTACTACAATTAATTTGAACCCCAATGATATTATCCATCCAAGTGGGATTTATTTTTCGTTTAATCCAGCAGGAATCATACCATATGCAGCATTCTAGAACAAAGAAAGCTCCATGAGGGCATCCAGCTGTGCCACAATCCTAGAACCGGATTCTTAGTCTAGATTAATCTAAAGCCCACACTGTCCTAATCTTTCCAATCTGAGTTTGACTCTGTCTCCTAATTCAATTATTTCTTTCTTCTTGAAAATGTTATTTCAGACAATAAAAATGGGGAGTCTGTGCTCATACATACTGGGTCACAATACAATCCCAGAATAATATGAATGGCAAAATAAATGCGAGGCATGAATTAAAAAAAATGATAATGCTTGGTGACAATAGGATCATCTACACATGCAATGCCAAGAAATCTCAAAATATCAGGGGCTTCCAAAATAATCCTAGACAGTCCCTTCCCTGTAGAAAATATATCTATCAGAACACAGCTGGCATGAGACTCTAAGACTGGCAAGAAGGAAAAGGTCAGCATATTTTTTTTTCTCTAACAGCCCACCAACTGTTCTGGGTCTGCTGCTTTGTACTTCAGCTTTCCCATCTTATACCACTTCTGGTACAGGCACCCCCTTCTCTGGAAAGTTTGCAGAAGAAAAATTGATTGCATTTACAGAGAGGTGCCACTTCCCTGGAAGCCTTTAGTTAAAGAGGAGCCAAGAAGACCACGAAGTCAGACAATTTGGGGCACCACTATTCAAGAATATAGAAGGTCATGCATAAGCCAGTTTCCCTTTGCTGTCAGAACTAGAGAGCTCCAGGCAGAGCTGTTAGGCTGTGCATCTCCTCAGTTCATCTTCAGGCTCTTGGTCTAAGAAAGACAACCTTAGGCCAGTAGAGGGCGGTATCCCAGTCTCTGATAGATATAGAGGTGAGAAACTAAAACGAGGATGATGGAAGGCCCCAGCCACAACTATGGGGTTCCCACAAAGTCCCATTCTGACTGTTGGAACCTCAAGGTCCAGAATAGACCTGGCTGAATGCAGTTCATTGTGACTTCAAATTCAGGGATCCCCAAAAGTTCAGCACCTTGATGTGAGCAACTTCAGGTCAGCAAATAGTGGAGTATCCAAGAATGATCGGGTGTCAAGATGAGGACCCTGAAGAAGAATGAGAGAACCAGCCATCACTGAACAGAGAAGCTCCATATATTTCCTCAGTGCTATCTGACCTGGGATAGTCTGGGCAGAACTGTGAGGTGAAAGAACTTTGTCAATTTGTCTGGAGTGTCTCACAGAAATGAAGGCCTTGAAATAGTGGGCAGGGCTCAATATTTGCAGAGACAAAATCCAGGCCTTAACAGGACTCAAGGTAAGGGCCCTAAGTGCTAATGAGGGGTATCCACCACCTCACCAGCAAAGGTTGCCAAATTGAGTTCCATGCCATTTTCAGCCCTGGAGGGCTTCAAAAAACCTACCACTAAGGAGTCTCTTCATTGTACTTATGTGATCCCAGGAAGTGAAATACCTTTGTCTGAAGAGGGTGGCCCCAATTGTGGAAACAAAGTTGTTTTTGGCTTGAACCAGAGGCAAGAGGAGGACCCTGGGTGCGGTCGTGAGGTCCTCTCTGCGAAGCAGAAGGCTCACAGACCACGCCCCTGCTACCGGGCTGTGAGGCTTAAGCCCGAGATTTCATCTCTGGACTCAGTATGGGCAAGGCTTTATGTGCAGCATGTCGGACTCTGGCCAGTAGAGGGAAGAGTCACACGCTCCGCTAGATGTCAAGCTGAGCACCCAGGGACCACCGATAACCGGAAGACTGGAGTCCCCTAGTGCCTCTCCGCCCATCAGTCCGGAAGTCTCAGGCAGCCATAGCCAGATGCGGCTTAGCCTCGCTTCCGCGCGGAAAGCTTAGAACGCCGGTGGAGAGGCTCCGCGTGGGTTCTGCAGAGAGTGAATTTTGACTGGTTTGGAAACAAGGTGAGGCACCTCAATAGGAGCTTAGGAGACCATTCTGCCTTTCCTAAGCTGTGGTGCAGCCCTGAGAGGCCCTGGAAGCCTCTAAAGGTTTTTCAGCCTGAGTTTTGCCTGGAAAGTTTGGTGGGTGGGGGAGGGGGGACCTTGGTCTTAACTGGTGTAGTGCTGATTCGATGAATTTCGGGGACCAGCCTTGAGAGACCCTGAAAGACCTTGGATATCTGCCCGTCTGAAATCGGCCCAGAAAGTCTGGTGGGGGGAGGGGGCAGCTGGGTTCTTGGTGGTAATGGTGTAGCGCCGAATCTACGAATCTCGGAGACTGGCCCTCAGAAATCCAGGAAAGCCCTGGAAGTCAGCTAGCCTGAGTTTGGCCCAGCAAGTCTGGTGGGTGGGGTAGGGGGACCTTGGTCTTAGCAGGTAGCGCTGATTCTATGAATGTCAGAAACCTAGGCCGTAAGTAAATTAAATGTAAAGCCCCTGAAAACTATTGTGACTTCTACCTAAAAGGGTGGAGGGGGGCATACTGAATAGTGCCCCTTTACTGGGCAAAGTAAACCAACTCTGGAGCAGGCTGGCTTCCACTCCAGGCACTAAAGGAATTGAGGGCTACGCCCGAGGCCCACATCTGCTGTGAGCAATAGGAGGCTCAGAACAAAACTGAGCTGCCCTCTCATTTCTGCCAGAGATGGTCTCAGGGATATGAAGACCTTGGTCTAGTAGAGTAGGCCCAATTCAGCAGGCTGGCTCAGTCCCTTGCAGGAGTCAAGGCTTTGACTCTGAGTGGTAAACACCACTCCCTTATCCCCCCACCAAAACCCTGGGAAAGAAAAGGGAAGTATCCCTGTTGTCAAACCTAGAAGACCTGGGCATGCTGGCATGATAAATTGTGCTGCTTCTTTCCAGGGAATTTTTATCCCTAGAAAGCTTAGGAAAGGACTTTCAGCCCGAGTATCCCCTCAAGTTGAGTACTTCTTTATTTCAGATTGAAAGGAGTTGCAACCCTTCACCAGAAAGCGTGGTGACCACTTAGGAGAAAGGAATTGGTGACAACTGAAGGTGAGGACCCCAATGAGCCCAAGATGGAAAGGACTCCATTGAACTCTTAGAACTGGGTGTACCCTGTCAGGGAAGTAGACTGAGACATGCTTTCAGTTCCTTCTCACGGCTCTCACAGAGCTCTACAGCAGCAACTGCAAGAGTAGCAGAGGGGGGTGGCATTAGACCTGCTGAGAGTTAAGATGATGACCCTGATGGTGAACTCAAAATCCCCAACCAAAAGGAGACAGGAAGCCTGCGAGTACCTCCTGCCATCCCCAGTACACCTAAGCGAGACTGACAGGACACAGCCGAGACTCGTTCTTGCAATTCTAATATTCCTCTGTGGAATCTTGGGGACAGGCTGAACAGGAGTTCTGTGGATCCCTAGAGCAGCACCCTCACAGACAACCTGAAAGAGGGTTTTGGTTGAAGCCAAAGTTCTCTCTCTCTGCTTAAGAGTCCTCACAGAATCTCATCCTCCCTCCCCCAGGTGTCTACATCACCTGCTTTCCTGCTCATACGTCTGCCTGCTGTCCCTGACCACAGCCATCATGCCTCGGGGCCAGAAGAGCAAGCTCCGTGCCCGTGAGAGACGCCGCCAGGCCCGAAGTGGAACCCAGGAGCCCAAGGGCGCTCAGGCCACCGCAGCAGAGGATGCAGAGTTACCCTCTACTTCCTCTGCTGATGTGGGGGTTGCTTCCCCCAGTTCCTCTGCCTCTGGTTTACCCCAGGGACTTCAGAGGGCCCCACCCACCACCACCACTCGTAGGGGCCATGTTTCCCGCAAAAGATCTGGTAAAGGTGCCAAGAGACAAGGTGAGGAAAGTGAAAATCCTCTCCAGGCCTCAGCCTCCCATGAGAGTGCAAGCAGAGATCCTTTAAGTAGAAAGGCAGGATTGTTGATGCAGTTCATGCTATACAAGTATAAACTGAAAGAGCCCATTAAGAGGGTAGAGTTGCTAAAGATTATCAGCAGACAGTTCAGGCAGCACTTCCCTGAGATCCTTAAGAAAGCCTCTGAGCGCCTAGAGCTGGTATTTGGCCTTGAGTTGCAGGAAGACAAACCCAAAGGTCAACTCTATACCCTTGTCCCTAAACTAGAGGTCTCCAAAGATGGGAGCCAAAGTAGTGTCTGGGGCTTCCCCAGGAATGGGCTTCTGATGCCACTCCTGGGGGTGATATTCTTAAATGAAAACTGTGCCTCTGAGGAGGAGATTTGGGAATTCCTGAATGTTTTAGGGGTGTATGATGGGAAGAAGCACTTAATCTTTGGAGAGCCCCGAAAGCTCATCACCAAAGATCTGGTGCAGGAAGAATACCTGGAGTACCAGCAGGTGCCCAACAGTGATCCTCCTCGCTACCAATTCCTTTGGGGTCCCAGAGCCCATGCTGAAACTAGCAAGATGAAAGTCTTGCAGTTTCTAGCCAGGGTCAATAATACTGACCCCACAGCCTTCCCAAGCCTTTATGAAGAGGCTGTGAACGATGAGAAAGAGAAAGCCCGAGCCAGAGCTGCAGCCACGTCTGCTATTACCAAGGCTGGTCAGGGTCCCAGGGCCAAGGCTGACAGCAGCTCTCACCCATAGTGCAGTCCGAGGCAGATTCTTCACTTTGTGATTATAAAGGACTGTTAACTGTTACTTTTGTTATGCATGAATAATTTTTTGACTAATCTTGTGTGCATGTTTTTCAACTGCTGTTCCTTTAAGAAGGTTTATTTAGAGTCAGAATTTAAGTTTACATATGATATAGATCACACATTTACTGCTGTTCATCAGGTTTAGTTTTGTTTTTGTGAAACACAAATTGTAAAGCTGTAAACCACTTTGGTGGTCCAGAAAAAGATAACATGGCATTAGAGATCAGGAAATGTGAAAAAATTCATAGGAAAATATTTGAGATTTGAAGATAGTGGGGAAAAAAGTAAAACGTGATCAGTTCCTGATTGGCTTTATTTCATTTAGTCTTCTCATAAAATTAAAAAAAAAATTCTACCTGGATTATATTATTACATTCAAGAATGTGTGAAAAATTAAATGGTTGTGAATGAAACTTCTTGTCCATGGTTCTTATTTTATCAGTCATTATGGTAGAGGGTGAGAGACTCTACTTCATAAAGAAGTTAAAAGGAGACGGAGGGAAATACTACTTTTTTCACTGCTGAGCAGAATTTTGGCTGAATAGGTATTTTAAAGATAATTGGACAATGTCTTTAAGCTACATAAATACTGGACATGCTTATGGGGCAACATGTATTTTGATATGTGTGTATATCAGGTAGTGTAATGTTTAAATCAATCACACTGACCTCAAACATTTATCACTTCTTTGTAGCAGAGACACTCAAAATCCTATCTCCTAGCTTTTTTCTTTGTTTTTAAAGAATTAATTATTTATTTACTTATTTGAAAGGCAGAATGACAGAGGGAGAAACATATTCCATCTGCTGGTTTACTCCCCAAATGGTTGCAATGGTTGGGGTTGGGTCAGGCTGAAGATAGAAACCAGGAAACTCCATCCTAGTCTCCCACATGGGTGGCAGGGGCCAAGGTACTTGGGCCATCCTCCATTGCCTTCCCAGGTAAAATAGCAAGAAGCTGGGATGCAATTAGAGCAGCCAGAACTAAAACCAGCACTCTTACATGGGGTGCCAGCAACTCAAGCGCAGCTTAACCTGCTACACCACAATGCTGGCCTCCTAGTTTTCATTTTTGTAGAGAAGCATATAGCACACTGACATTATGGTTACTTTACTGTGCGGTAGAGCATCAGAATTTTTCTCCTCATTATCACTTAGTACATCTAATGAAACTATACCTCCCTCCACCAAGGGTTGTTGTTGCTATGGCTTTTTGGTCCAAGACTGCCACATGTTCTCTCACATCTGGATGAAAATAAATCCCAGCTGGAAGGATGGTAATGTTGCAGGTGAAAATCGTAGTAACAACTGCCACTCCCTAGTCTCGTGAGAAGCACAAGTACAGCTGCAGATGCTTTGTAGGCATTACATATATTATACCAGTCCTATAAGGCAGACCTACTCAAACTCACCTCACAGAATTTGGTAATGTGCCCAACTTCACAGAACCAGAAAGTGACGGGGATGGGAGTAGAACACTGATCTAAAGCCCACACTTTTTTTTTTAAGATTTATTTATTTATTTGAGAGGTAGAGTTACAGTCAGTGAGAGAGAGAGAGAGAGATAGAAAGGTCTTCCGTCCGTTGCTTCACTCCCCAAATGGCCGGAAAGGCCAGAGCTGCGCCAATCCGAAACCAGGAGCCAGGAGCTTCTTCCCAGTCTGCCACATGGGTGCAGGGGCTCAAGCACTTGAGCCATCTTCCACTACTTTCCCAGGCCACAGCAGAGAGCTGGATCGGAAGTGGAGCAGCCGGGACTAGAACCAGTGCCCACATGGGATGCCGGTGTTTCAGGCCAGGACGTTTACCAGCTGAACCACAGCGCCAGCCCCTAGCCCACACTTTTCTACTACTCCTAACCTGAGGTACACCCTGAGTCTCTTATTTCGGTTTCTTTTTCGGTACTCGAAAATGTGTCACAAGCGATAAAAAAAAAAAAAAAATTGGGCCCCTGCGCCCAGGTTGGAGACCCAGATGAAGCTCCTGGCTCCTGGCTCCAGCCTGGCCCAGCGTCAGCCGTCTGAGGAGTGAACCAGCAGATGGAAGATCTCTATTTCTCGATCTCTCTCTGCCTCTGCCTCTGAAATAAATGTTTTTTAAAAAAATTCATCTGACTCGCCACTTGCATTTATTTACTTACTTTTGTGTGTGTGCGTGACGTGATACATCGGACAGAGAAGCCAAGAGGAGGCAGAACGTGACGTGACATTAGCCGCAAAGATGTGATGGGACATGCGCGGCAGGCATAACGTGGCGGACTTAAGGGGCCGCGAAACGTGACGTGACGTGTGGGGCGACGTAACGTAACGACGTGGCGTGGCGTGGCGTGGCATGGCGTGGCGTGGCGTGGCGTGGCGTGGCGTGGCGTGGCGTGGCGTGGCGTGCTGTGCCGTGCCGTGCCGTGTGGAGCGGAGCGGAGGCGACAAACCGGGACGAGCCGAGCGGCGTGACGGGCTGAGGAGACGTTTTTGGCGCTTCTTTATAAGTGAGTAAACCGGCATAGAAGTTATGTGAGGTTCTAAATCTGGCTGTGGCAAAGGAAAAAGCACATCGGTACTTTTTAAGAAGTCTGGTATTCTCCGCCTATGCTGGGCTCCCCACATGTACTTTAGCTTCCCTAGGTCATAGCGCTCATAGTATAGGGACCCCTTTTCTGAAAGGTTAGCAGAAGGGAAACTGGTCAAGAGTTAGTAGGGATGTAGCACTCCAAAGGAAATTTTTAAGACTGGTTCATCTTATTTATATTATTTCTAATAAACTGTTTTTATTAATACAGAGAATGGATTTCATGTAGTTCATAGATACAGTTCTGTGTTATGCTATTTCCCTTACTCTCCCTTCCTTCCTTCCTATTTTAATTTTAGAAATAACATTTTTAATTTATAGTCACAGGCATAACACTGCACTAAATAAAGGGCTCAACAAGTTAAAATTAGAAAGACCACTGTTAAGAAAGAGTATATACAAGGGCTATAAAAATAATCAAATAACAAGTTGTCAATTTCACTCATATATATTAAATTATTTTTGGAATTTATATATTACTAGCACAAATCAGAGAAAATATGGAATATTATTTTGGGGGTCTGCCATATTTCACTAAACATAATGGTCTCCAGTTGCATCCATTTTGTGACCAAAGACAGGCTTTCAAATTTTTTGGCTGAATACTACCCATCATGTGTATATTTTTCTTGTGTATGCATTTTCTTTATCTGGTCATCAGTGGGTGGACATCTAGGTTGAGTCCATATGTTAGCTATTGTGAATTGAGCTACTATTAACATTGGGGTATAGGTAATTCTTTCATATGCTGATTTCATTTCCATTCAGTATATTTCCAGGAGTGGGATGGCTGGGTCATATGGTAGATCTATGTATAAATTTCTGAGTAATTGCTATACTGTCTACATAATAGTTATACCAGTTTACATCCCTACCAACAGAGTATAAGGGTAACTTTTTTCCATACATCTTTGCTAGCATTGTTATTTTTTGATTTTTGGATGATAGTAATTCTGCAGGGGTGAGGTGAAACACATTTTGGGTTTTATTTGCATTTCCCTGATGGTTAGTGATCCTAAGCATTTTTTCATGTATCTGTGGGCCATTTGTATTTCATTCTTTGAAAAATGACTGTTCGTGTCCTTTACCCATTTCTTAACTGGGTTGTTTGCATTGTTGTCATTGAGTTTGTTGAGCTCCTTATACATTCTGGATATTAATTGCTTATCAGATGCATAGTTAGAAAAAGTTTTCACCTGTTCTGTTGGTTACCTCTTCACTTTGTTGAATGTTTGCTTTGTAGTGCAGAAGCTGCTTAGCCTGATGTAATCCCATTTGTCTGTATTTTATTGCCTGAACTTCTAGAGTCTTATCCAGGAAGTTTTTTGCCTAGTCCAATTTCTTGCAGTATTTATTATATGTTTTCCTATAAATAGTAGATGGTTTCAGGTCCTAAGTTTAGATCCTTGATCCATTGTGAGTTAATTTTTATATAAGGTATAAGGTAAGGGGTCTTGTTTCATCCTGTTACATGTGGAAATCCAAATTTCTCAACACCATTTGTTGAAGAGTCTGTTCTTTCTCCAGGGAGTGATTTTAGCTCATTTGTCAAAGATTAGGTGGTTATAGATACATGAATTAATTTCTACAGTTTCTATTCTCTTCCATTGGTCCACATGTCTGTTTTTGTGCAAGTTCCCAGTCTGTTCTTATTGTAGCAGTCCTGTAGTATGTCTTGAAATCTGGTATTGTGGTCCCTCCAGCTTTGTTTTTATTGTTCAAGATTGTTTTGGATATTTTGGACCTCATGTGTTTTCATATGAGTTTTAAGATTTTTTTCGGGGCTGCACTGTGGTGCAGTGGGTTAAAGCCCTGGCCTGAAGCACCGGCATCCAATATGGGCACTGGTTCTAGTCCTGGCTGCTCCTCTTCCAATCCAGCTCTCTGATATGGCCTGAGAAAGCAGTGGAAGATGGCCCAAGTCTTTGGGCCCCTGCACCCACGTGGGAGACCCAGAAGAAGCTCCTGGATCCTGGCTTCAGATTGGCACAGCTCCGGCCATTGCAGCCATCTGGGGAGTGAACCAGCAGATGGAAAACCTCTCTCTCTTTCTCTACCTCTCTCTGTAACTCTCTTTCAAATAAATAAAATAAATCTTTAAAAAAAGGATTTGTTTTCTAGATCTGAGAAGAATGTGTTTTTACTGGGATCATATTGAATCTGAATCTGTAAATTAGTTTGTATAGTATGGACATTTTGATTATATTCTTTCCATGAATATGAAAAATTGTACCATTTTTGTGTGTCATCTTCTATTCTTAATGTTTTTTAATTTTCATTGTAGATATCTTTCACACCCCTGCTGAAATTTATCCCGAGGTTTTTTATGTAGCTAGTGTGAATGGGGCTGATCTTACAATTTCTTTCTCAGCTGTAGCATTATTAGTGTATATGAATACTATTGATATATTTGTTGATTTTGTATCCTGCAGTTTTGCCAGATTCTCTTATGTATTCTGATAGTCTCTTAGTGGAAGCTTTTAGTCCACCTATATATAGGCTCATCTCATCTGCAAATGGGGATAATTTGACTTCCTCCCTTCCAATTTGTATCCATTTGATTTCTTTTTCTTGCCTAATGGCTCTGGCTAAAACTTCTAGAACTATATTGAATAGAAGTCGTCAGAGTGAGCATCCTTGTCTGTTCCAGATCTTAGTGGCAGTGCTTTCAGCTTTTCCCTATTCTGTATGATGCTGGCTTTGGGCTTGTCATATATTGCCTTGATTGTGTTGAGGTGTGTTCCTTCTATACCCAGTTTTTAAAAAGATTTTTATTAAAAATGATGTTGTATTTATCAAATGCTTTCTCTTGATCTCTTGAGATAATCACAGGTTTTTAATCTTCATTTGGTTAATGTGATGTATCACATTTATTGATGTGCATGTGTTGAAACATCCCTGTATCCCTGCAATAAATCTCTGTTGGTCCAGGTGGATGATCACTTTGATGTGTTGCTGGATTTGACTAGGTAGTATTGGCCCCTCTCAAATTTTTATTGCTTCTTCCCTCTTACTAATTTTGGGTTTGATTTGTTCTTATTTTTCTGAGTCCTTGAGATTCATTGTTAGATCATCTGTTTGTTACCTTTCCAATTTTTTGATGTAGGTACCGATTGCTATAAATTTTCCTCTTAAGACTGTTTTTGCCATATTCTACAAGTTTTGACATGTCGTATTGACATTTTCATTCATTTCAAGGAATGTTTTGATAGCTCTCTGATTTATTGTATGAATCACTGTTCATTCAGGAGCATGTTGTTCAGTCTCCATGCGTTTGCATATTTTCAAAGTTTCTAAAGTTGTTAATTTCCAGCTTTATTCCACTGTGGTCAGAAAGGATATTTGGGATAATTTCAATTTTTTAATTTGTTGAACTTGTTTTATGTCCTAATATATGATCTATCTTAGAGAATTTTCTGTGCACTGTTGAAAGGAATGTATATTCTGTAGCTGTGGAATGAAGTGTTCTGTAGATAGCAATAGATCCATTCGGTCAATAGTGTAGATTAGCTCTGTTTTTCTTTGTTGGATTTTGTCTGGTTGATCTGTTCATTGATGAAAGTGGGGTGTTGAAGTCCCCAAGTATTATTGTATTTAATTGTATGCCTCTCTTTAGATCCATTGACATTTGTTTTAAATAGCCAGATATCCTAACATTAGGTATATATACACTTATTATAGCCACATTTTCCCTGTTGCATTGATCTTTTAATCATTACATAATAACTTTGTCTCTTAACAGTTTTTTCTTAAAAGGTATTTTTTCTATATGAAAATAGCTACTTCTGCTTATTTCTAATTTTCAGTTACATGGATTATCTTTTTCCATCCTTTCACTTCCAATCTGTGTATCTTTTTTGGTGAAGTGTGTTTCTTGTAGGTAGCATATAGATAGGTTTTGTTTTTTAATCCATTCATCCAGTCTGTATCTTTTAATTGGAGAATTTAGTCCATTTACATTCAATAATTAATGACTTGGTCCTGCCTTTTTTCCAGAAATATTCCTGTTGTTTGTTTTTAATCTCCTTTGTGCTTTTACTAGGAGGTTTTCTGCCTTCATATTCTTTAATAATGCTGATTATCTTTCTCTGTTTCTGTGTTGTATCTCCTTAAGTATAATTTGTAAGGCAGGTCAAGTGGTGACAAATTCGTTCAGTTTTTGCCTGTCTTGGAAGGTCTTTATTTCATCTTCATTTGTAAATGAGAGCTTCACTGAGTAATGTATTCTGAATTGATAGTTTTCTTTTGGGATTTGGACTATATCTCTCTTTTCTCCCCCCAGCCATTTAAGGTTTCTCTTGAGAAATTTGCTGTCAGTCTAATTGGAGACCCTTTAAAGACAGTCTGGCATTTCTCTCTTGTACATTTTAGGATCTTGACTTTTTACTTTTGGAAGTTTGACTGTAATGTGTCATGGTGAAGATATTTTCTTATCATGTCTGTATTTGGATGTCCATATCTTTATCCAGATTGGGGAAATTTTTCTGCTGTTATTTCACTGAATAAGTTTTCTAAGTCATTCTTTTTTCCATACTTTCAGGAACTCCTAAGACTCATATATTTGGTCATTTGATGATACTTCAGAGATTCTGACATTATTTTTGCTTTCTAGTTTCTAGTTTTTTCTTCTTCTTCTATTAAAGACTTGTTTCCTGGCTCAGTTATTCTTTCTTCTGCCTCACTGAGTCTGTTACTAAAGCTTTCCACTGTATTTTTTATTTGATATATTCTTCCCTTCTAATATGTCTGTTAAATTTTTTAAAAGCATTTTAAGGAGTGAGGCCCAGATCAAGCTGGGAGGAGCACATTATATGTCTTCTTTTTGTTTGTGCTGAACTTGAAGATTTGTTTTTTTAATTAGTACTTTTACTGTACATTTCTTTTAATAGGTTATTTCATTTCAGTATCTGCATTTATGAATAGCTTGAATTGCACATTTATGTTTTCCATATATAAATATAAATGTTTTATAGAAATTTAAGGTATATGGCATGTGTTATTATATATATAGTGAAATGATTACTATAGGTAAGCAGTTTAATATATCATATAGTTATCGTTTTTATCATAAAACATCTAAAATTCCTGTTAGAAAATGTCTAGTATGCCATACAGTGTTATGAACTACAGTCCTCTTGCTGTACATTAGATTTATAGACTTATTCAGCCTACATAACTACAATTTAGCAAACTTTGACCTACATCTCTGCATTCTCGCCCATTCCTCCCTCTGGTAACCACTGTTTCATTCTCTGTTTCTCTTTCTTCAAGCAGGCTTTTCTTTCCTTTAAGTTCTGTTCTATTTTATTTTATTTTTAACTGATACATGAAAATTTTACATATTTATAGTCCCATTTTATTTTTTAAGATTTGTTTATTAAAAGGAAAACCAACAGGAGAGAGGGAGAGACAGAGAGTAATCATCTATCTGCTAGCAAATGGCAGCAACTGCCAGGGATGGGCCAGGCCAAAGCCAGGAGTCAGGAACTCTGTTTGAATCTCCTATGTGGGTGGCAGGGACTCACATTTTTGGGCTATCCTTTACTAACTGTTCATGTACATTAGCAGAGAGCTGGATTGGAAATGGAGCAGCCAGAATTCAAAGTGCCCCCCTCCCCAAAAATTTTTTTTAAAAAACTTTTATAATGATTTATTTATTTTGAAAGTCAGAGTTAGAAAGAGAGAAATCAAGATCCATCTTCCATCTGTTGTTTCACTTGCAGATGACCACAATGGACAGTGTTGGGCCAAGCCAAAGCCAGGAACCAGGAGCTTCATTTGGGTCTCCTATGTGGGTGGCAGAGGCTCAATACTTGGCCCATCTTCCTTTGCTTTCCCCAGGCCATTATCAGGGAGATATGGTGAAAGTGGAGCAGTTGGGACACAAACTGGTACCCATATGAGATGCCAGTGTTGGAGGCCGTGGCTTTGTCTGCTACTCCACTATGTCAGCCCCTAAATTTTTTTAAAGCAGTTTTCAATTATTGAGGCCAGAATTAAGATGCAGTGGGTTAAGTCACCTCCTGTGACACTGGTGTCCCATATGGATACCGGTTCCTATCCCAGTTGCTCCACTTTGGATCTAGCTCCCTGGTAATGCACCTGAGAAAACAGCAGAAGCTGTCCCACGAACTTGGGCCCCCTGCTACACACATGGGAGACTGACGTGGAATTCCAGGCTCCTGGCTTCAGTCTGGCCAAGCCCTGGCCATGGCCATTAAGGCCATTTGGGGAGTGAACCAGAGGATGCAAAATCTCAATCTCTCTCTCTCTCTCTCTCTGTGTGTGTGTGTGTGTGTGTGTGTGTGTCTTTCTGTCTTTCTTTGTAACTGCCTTTACAATAAATACATATTTTTAAAATTATCAATTCTTTGTTTTCTAATTTCCTCCAGTCCTTCTTCTTGTAAAATTAAAGGTTATCTACTTGGTTTACTTAGATTATCCAAGAATGTAGAACTTCAATCCTAATATTTTAGGATTTTCATACTAAGATTTTCATACTCACTCTCTTGTTTTTTTTCTTCAGTAATTAAATGAGTATCAGAACTTTGAAAGATTTGTGTTAGTAATGAAAGATATATGTTAGTATTTTGAAGGTTTCCTCCTCCTTCCAAAATAATCAAAACCCTGTCGATTTTAGAGTCTAGGAGCAGCTATCATATAAAACTAAGTGATTAAATTCTCTCTGACCTAAACAACAGATGGGGAAAGGAGGAAGTTCAGATTAAAGCAATCAAGTGTAAATGCCCTGAGATAAGACAGTTTGGAGCCTTAAGGAACTGCAAGTTCCTCAGTGGGAGGTAATGTAAGCAAGGCTTCAGAGTGCGATGGCTGAGATTGTGAGAGTGGTGAACAAGGGTCAGACCTTCAGATGGTACTTCTGAGAGGAGAGATCAAACCTGGAATGGTAAATTTTTCCTAACATTTGCTTTGGGATTGTAGGAAAACCAGAGAGAATCTCCATCCGGGCTAAGTGTGGAAAGTGTATTATGCACCTGTTCCATTATGATGAAACACAGAAGTCACATAAGAGATTAACATTGGCTATTACAAAGGATAGGATGGGCATTGTGGCACAGTGGTTAAGATGGTGCTTGGAACACCCACGTGCCATATCAGAGTGCCTGGATTCGAGTCCTGTCTGTGTTCCTAATCTCAGCTTCATGCTAATGTACATTAATGGGAAGCAAAAGGTAGTTGGCTCAAGTAGTTGGGTTCCCACCACCCACATGGGAAACCTAGGATTGAGTTACAAGCTTCTGCCTGGCTCAGCTCAGGTGGTCACAGGCATTTGGGGAGATAACTAGAGAATAGGACATCATCTGCTCTCTTTTTCTCTGTCTCTTCTTTCCCTATTCTTGCTCTCTCTTTCCCTTTCAAGCAAATAAAATAAGCAAAAATGCTTGAGAAACATCGTACTTTAAAGAGGGATAGAGCAGTATCATTTTTCTGTGCCAATCCACACGTGTTCGGGGCCCCTGCCTTCTGTTGCAGTTTCCTCATCTCACATCAGACCTAGGATGTGGACCTGCATCATTTGCAGTAGGGCACTTCCCAGGAAGCCTTTAATCCAAGAGACAGTAGCAAAAATGAGAACTCCCTAATGAATTAGTATTGAAGAAACAAAATGGAGTAACTTAGAAACCTGACCAAACACACTCTCAAACTTAGAATGCCCCAAGCAGGACAGGCAGACTGGGCATCCTCCCTTCATAGTTCTCAGAGAAGTGAGAAACTTGGCCTAAGGAAGGTAGACCTCAGTTCAGTAGAGGGAGGATCCCAAGGTCTGGTAATTATCAAGATGAAGACCTTGAATGAGGAATAGGGAACCAGGGGAGTGATGGCCCACAGAAACCTGACTCAGCTGTCAGCCCTTGCAGAGTCCAGTATTCCTCATCTAGGCTCACCCTAACTTCCACCTGGGAAGTATCAGGACAGAGAGGACCTTGACCTGAGCAGAGTTATGTCAGGGGCAATGGAGTTCAAGGACTATCCAGAAGTATGGTGAGGTTCTTGAGTGAGGAAAGAAGAGATCACTAAACTCACAAATAAATTGACTTTACAGAGCCTTGTCTGTGTTCTTAACCCTGAGAGGCTCCAGGCAGAGCTTAATTCTAAGATATCCTCATTTCCACCAGGAGTACCTAAGGAAAAGTGGGACATTGTCTTACGGCAGCCTCAGGTCTTCCGAGTGAGGAGTCTTGATCTGAACTGAAGTCAAGGTAAGGACCACTAGTGATAATAAGAGGACCTGTCCCCCAAACAGAGGGCCAACAAGATCCCCACTCCTGTTCTAGGACTGTGAGGCCTCAGGAAATGTTCATCGTTTGTAATATACCTAGACTTCTGCTCTAGGGACTGAGGGCAGTGACTCATTTGGAGACTAGTGGACTTGGGCCACCATAGGGAGGAATCACAGCCTCCACAGAAACCATCACCTGTTTTGAGGCACCAGACGCGGTCACCAGCCTGAGGACCCCTCCTCACTTCTGACTGGAAGGTCTCAGGGAGGGGAGTAATGTGCCTTGGCCCTGTTGTGGAGAGAGAGTTGTCTTGGCTTGAATAGGCAGCAAGGTGAGTGCTGTCAAGAGGTCCTCTCCTCTAAAAAGGGAAGCTCTTTGAGCCCCACCCCTGCTGTCAGCCATGAGACTGGGACCTATATTTCCTCTCTAGGGATTTGAGGATGGGAGAGTTTTGTGTGGAGGCTGGTGACCTCAGGTCAATACAGGAAGGAGCTTCAGGCTCTGCTAGATGTCGGGGTAAGCACATAGGGACCACTGACCCTGTAGTCCACCTCTGCTGTCAGCCCTCAGAGGCCCAGGCAGCCATGATGAGATGTGACTCATCATCACTTCTGCTTGGAAGATGAGGATCATAGGGTGAATGAGAGGTAGAGTGTCCTGTTGGCCAAGGGTGAGTTCCAGTACCATCTGGAGTCAAGATGAGGACTTTGAGTGGGTACTGCAGAGGACATTCCTCTCTTATAACCAAAGGGTTTCTGCTAAGCTCCACACCTGCACGGAGCCCCCGAGAGGCCCCAGGAGGCTGTCAGGCTTAATTCTGCCTGAAAGTCTCAGGAAGGAGAGGGCATTGGTCTAATAGAGTAGATCCAGTTCAGCAAGTGGAGGTAACATAGGTCCTCACTGGACTCCAAATGAAGGCTCTGAGTGCTGATGAGGTACTCTTCCCCCACTAGAGGTAGCAACACAAAGAAGTACTGTACTCCTTTCTGTGAGATTCCAGGCAAGGGGAGGGGACCCTGACTTCCGTGAATGGAGCCCTGTTCTGAGGCTCTAAGACTCAGGTTATTGGGGGGAGGTATCCCAAGTGCTACTAGAGTTGAGTTTGGAGACTTGAGTGAGGACTAAGGAGAATACCAACTCTAATAAGTGAGGTCCCATAAATTCTACTTCTTTTCTTATTCATAAGGAAACGCAGAATAACTGTAAGGGCAAGGTGGCCCCTTTCTTGCCCCTTTCTTCCTGAAGAGTTCCAAGAATGTTGGCCTAATTGTATGCCTGAATCCTGCAGAAGGAAGACCACAGTCTTTACGTAAAAGGAGTCAGGGTGAGGATCCTTAATGAGAACTGAAGATAATATTCACCCTCACAAAAGAGGAAATGGAGTCTCCCCAACTACTACTTATAGCCATAAGAGTGCAAGCCTGGAAGTCAGGTGTATGTGAACTCTCCTTTCCTCTTGGTAATATTACTTTTGTCTGAGGGGAGGGGCATCAGTCAACAGTGACAAATATCCCAGCTCCTAAGTATAGCTTTGGTGAGGGCCCTGAGTGAGAACTCAGGACTCCAGTAAGCACACGACAGAGAAGGCTTCCACAGAGCGCTTGGCATTGAATATCCTCCTGGAAGTGGTAGTGGGCTGAGGTACCCCATTACTTCCTAATAGGAAGCCCCAAAGAGCTAAGGATGTTGATTGGAGATGTGAAATTTAGTGCAGCACAGGAGAGGGGCCCCAGGAGTAGATACAGTGGCCCTGAATGTGAACTGGGAGGACTCCCCTACCCCAAGGCAGAAGGGATTCTACAATGTGTAGATCTGCCTCTTTTGCTCTCAGCCCTAGGACACACTAGCCAGACTGACAGGTTGTAGCCTAAGGCACACTTTAATGTTTCCACAGGGTTCTTAGAGGACAGGCTTATCAGAACTAGAGCAGTACTTTCACAGAAACCTGCAGACGCCTTCTTAAATCCAAGGTGGCCTCTCCCTGCTGAAAGTGGCCTCACCCTCTCATCCTGTCGCCTCCAGGTGCCTGTACCTCCTGCTTTCCTGCCCACTTTCCAGCCTGCTGTCTCTGACTACAGCCATCATGCCTCGGGGGCAGAAAAATAAGCTTCAAGCTCATGAGAGATGCCGCCAGGCCAAAGGTGAGACTCAGGGCCTCCAGAGTGCTGAGGCTCCTGCAGCCAAGAAGCAGCTACACCCTTCCTCATCTTCTCCTCAGTTTAGAGGTACTACTCAGAGAAAGTCTGCTGCTGTGTCACGTGGTGCTCTCAAGAGGCGTCAGAGAGCCCTACCCACCACAGCGTCTGTAGATGCTCCTTGCACAAGATCATCCAGAAGAGCCAACTGCAAAACCAAGAGAAAGCAAAGTTCTTCCCAGGCCCCACTCTCCACTGTGGAGTCTCCCAGAGGCCCTCTAACCAAGATGGCAGGTACATTGGTACAATTCCTAATGTACATGTCCAAAAGTAAAAAGCCTATTATGAAAGCAGATATGCTGAAGATTATCCCTAAAAACTACAAAAAACACTTCCTTGAGATCCTCAGAAGAGCTGCTTTCAACATAGAAGTGGTTTTTGGTGTTGACCTAAAGGAAGTTGATTCTACCAAGCGATCCTATGTTCTCGTCAGCAAAATGAATCTTCCCAACAATGGGATAGTGAATCGTGGCAGGGGTTTTCCCAAAACTGGTCTGCTGATGAATCTCTTGGGTGTGATCTTCACAAAGGGCAACTGTGCCACTGAGGAGAAGATATGGGAATTTCTGAATAAGATGAAGGTCTATGCTGGGAAGAGACACTTCATATTTGGGGAGCCCAGGAAGCTCATCACCCAAGATTTCGTGAAGCTTAAATACCTCGAGTACCGCCAGGTGCCCAACAGCTATCCTGCACGCTATGAATTCCTTTGGGGTCCGCGAGCCCATGCTGAAACCAGCAAGATGAGAGTCCTGGAGTTTTTGGCCAAGATCCAGAACACAGCACCCAGTGCCTTCCCAGCCTTGTATGAAGAGGCATTGAGAGATGAGGAAGAGAGAGCTGAAGCCAGAGATATTTAGTGATAGCAAATGGAATGTACCGGGGCTGTGTTCAGCTCCTCCCACACCTAATGAAGTTGAGGCAAATTCTTCACTTTGTAGTTAAAGAGAGCAGTCACTGTTCCAAACAGTAGAGGTCTCGATGTAACCTGAGGGAACACAGTGTCTAATACTTGTGTGTTCCTGTTCTATTTGGGTAATTTGGAGGTTTTTTATATTTTCTTGGTATTTTTCAGAGGTTTCTTTTATTCAATATTATAATCTAAGTTTATGCATTGTATAAGTCATGCTCATTTATCAAGTTTAAAAATAAGAGTTTTAAGAAAATTTCATCTTTTTAGTGATCTGCTGCAATTTAACAGAATTGAAACAAGCATTTCCTTGAAAATGTGAAAAATCAGCAGTAAAATGGAATTGAGAAAGAAAAAGCATCAGATACTCAGTATTTTGTTTCCTAAACTCCTTTACTCTGTTTTATAAAATTAAAAGATAAATAAATGTACCTGGCTTATTCGATAGTATAGAATTAAATCACAGTAAATTAAAACCCATGCTCACAGGTTTATTTATTCGAATACCCCAAACCAACTGTGCGTCTGCTCTTGGAGATCTTCACAGGAGGCCTGAGAAAAAAAAGACCTAGCAACAGACCATAAAATTATAAGGCTGAGAGGTAGCTATCACATAAGGAAAATGATGGTATCTACTCTTAAGACCAAAAGGACAAATGAAAAGAAGGGTTAGGAAGGGTGGGAGGTGGTTTCAGATGACAGCAGTCAAATGTAAATCACTTGTTCAAGGCATTCTTAGGCCTTAGAGAGATGCAAGTCCCTCTGTGGGAGGTAATGTAAGGGAGGCTACATGGTGGGCTGACTGTGGGAGTGGTGAGTCCGGGCCCAGGCCCTCAGATGGTGCATCTCAGAGTGGAGAGACCAAGTTTGGCATGCGAAATTATTCCTAACATTTGCTTTGGGGTTGTAGGAAAACCAGGGAGAATTTCCAGCTGGGCCAGGGGTAGAAAGTATCTTGTGTTTTCCCAGTGCAAGTAGACACAGTGCACACACTGGGTATTCTAGGCATATCATCTTCAGGGAGTTCTTGAAAAACAAGATGACACCCTCAAGGAAGGTGTGATGCTCAGAAGCCACTGCGTTTTCATTCTTTGACCTGGGTTGAGGGATCCAGAAGCTTTTCTATCAAAAGATAATTTGATTAGCTTATATTGGGTATAATTTAACACAATGCAGGCAGGGTGGATTTGGGGTTATGGTTAGGTGAATGAAAATGAAAATGGTTTAGATGGAAGGTGAAGAGAGAAATTTTGGGCCCTTGAAAGACGTTTTAGAAATTTGGGTTACAGCAACTGAGAGAGTACATATCACACTGACATTGCATGATTTACCAAGCAATGGGAAAATATTATGGAATTGACTTTCCTTGCTAAAGTAACATTTTGACAGTTTTCTTTGTGCTAGCTTCCAGCTTGAAAAATAAATCCCAGATTGTAACGTTGTAGATAAATTAATCATAATATAGACTGGGTTGTTTTAAACATGCCATATATATGCTTTCTTTTTTTATTTTTTTATTTTTTTTATTTTTTAACAGGCAGAGTGGACAGTGAGAGAGAGAGACAGAGAGAAAGGTCTTCCTTTGCCGTTGGTTCACCCTCCAATGGCCGCCACGGCCAGCGCGCTGCGGCTGGCGCACCGCGCTGATCCGATGGCAGGAGCCAGGAGCCAGGTGCTTTTCCTGGTCTCCCATGGGGTGCAGGGCCCAAGCACCTGGGCCATCCTCCACTGCGCTCCCTGGCCACAACAGAGAGCTGGCCTGGAAGAGGGGCAACCGGGACAGAATCCGGCACCCCAACTGGGACTAGAACCCGGTGTGCCGGCGCCGCTAGGCGGAGGATTAGCCTAGTGAGCCGCGGCGCCGGCCACCATATATATGCTTTCAACATAGAAGTGGTTTTTGGTGTTGACCTAAAGGAAGTTGATTCTACCAAACGATCCTATGTCTCGTCAGC